GTCTAGGGTTTCTGGGATTATGCTGTTGATGTGAGCCATGACCAGTCTTTCAAAGCACTTCATGGCTACAGACGTCAGTGCCACGGGTCGGTAGTCATTTAGGCAGGTTATCTTAGAGTTCTTGGGCACGGGGACTATGGTGGTCTGCTTGAAACATGTTGGTATTACAGACTCAGTCAGGGACATGTTGAAAATGTCAGTGAAGACACTTGCCAGTTGGTCAGCACATGCTCGGAGTACACGTCCTGGTAATCCGTCTGGCCCTGCGGCCTTGTGAATGTTGACCTGCTTAAAAGTCTTACTCACATCGGCTACGGAGAGCGTGATCACATAGTCGTCCGGAACAGCTGGTGCTCTCATGCATGCTTCAGTGTTGCTTGCCTCGAAGCGAGCATAGAAGTGGTTTAGCTCGTCTGGTAGGCTTGTGTCACTGGGCAGCTCGCGGCTGTGCTTCCCTTTGTAGTCTGTAATAGTTTTCAAGCCCTGCCACATCCGACGAGCGTCAGAGCCAGTGTAGTATGATTCAATCTTAGACCTGTATTGACTCTTTGCCTGTTTGATGGTTCGTCGGAGGTCATAGCGGGATTTCTTATAAGCGTCCGGGTTAGAGTCCCGTTCCTTGAAAGCGGCAGCTCTACCCTTTAGCTCAGTGCGGATGTTTCCTGTAATCCATGGCTTCTGGTTGGGGTATGTACGTACGGTCACTGTGGGGACGACATCATCGATGCACTTATTGATGAAGCCAGTGACTGATGTGGTGTACTCCTCAATGCTGTCTGAAGAATCCCGGAACATGTTCCAGTCTGTGCTAGCAAAACAGTCCTGTAGCTTAGCATCTGCGTCATCTGACCACTTTTTTATTAGCCGAATCACTGGTGCTTCCTGCTTCAGTTTTTGCTTATAAGCAGGAATCAGGAGGATAGAGTTATGGTCAGATTTGCCAAATGGAGGGCGAGGGAGAGCTTTGTATGCGTCTCTGTGTGTGGAGTAAAGGTGGTCTAGAGTTTTTTCCCCTCTGGTTGCACATTTAACATGCTGGTAGAAATTAGGTAGAACGGATTTAAGTTTCCCTGCATTAAAGTCCCCTGCTACTAGGAGCGCTGCATCTGGATGAGCGTTTTCCTGTTGATTAATGGCCTTGTACAACTCATTCAGTGCAATCTTAATGCCAGCATTGGTTTGTGGTGGTAAATAGACAGCTATGAAAAATATAGATGAAAACTCTCTTGGTAAATAGTGTGGTCTGCAGCTTATCATAAGATACTCTACCTCAGGCGAGCAAAACCTTGAGACTTCCTTAGTATTTGATTTGGTGCACCAGCTGTTGTTTACAAATATACAGAGACCGCCACCCCTCGTCTTACCCGAGTCTGCCGTTCTGTCCTGCCGATGTAGCGTATAGCCTGCTAGCTGAATGTTATCATTGTCGTCGTTCAGCCACGACTCCGTGAAACATAAGATATTACAGTTTTTAATGTCCCGTTGGTAGGATAACCGTAATCTTAAATCGTCCATTTTATTCTCCAAAGCTTGAACGTTGGCTAATAGGATTGATGGGAGAGGCAGTTTACTCGTTCGCCGTCGGATCCTTACAAGGCACCCCGACCTACGTCCACGATATCTCCGTCTCTTCCTCACGCGAATGACGGGGATCTGGGCCTTGTCGGGAGTCTGTAGAATATCCTTCGCGAACGCCTCGTTGAAGAAAAAGTGTTCGTCCAACGTGAGGTGAGTAATCGCTGTCCTGATATCCAGAAGCTCTCTTTGGTTATAAGAGACGATGGCAGAAACATTATGTACAAAATAAATTACAAATAACGCGGAAAAACACACATAATAGTACAATTGGTTAGAGGGCTGTAAAACGGCAGCCATCTTCTTCCGGCGCTGTTTACAATAAAGCAGTTAGACAAGGAAGGTCTGGCCATAGTCTTTGCTGTGAAACGCTTCCATCAGTACCTCTACGGTCATCATTTCACCATATGCACTGACCACAAACCACTGATGAGCCTTTTCAGTGAATCAAGATGCATTCCTCCCATGGCTTCAGCAAGGATACAGCGCTGGGCCCTCATGCACCTTATGCAAAGCGCAAAACTGAGCTGAGTGTGCAGGATGGCTGCATACTCTGGGGGTCCAGAGTGGTTGTTCCACCCCCTGGCCGTGCACAAGTCATGGATGAGGTCCATGAGGCTCACCCGGGTGCCTCCCGGATGAAAAGTTTAGCCAGATCTTACATCTGGTGGCCTAACATGGATCAGGATGTAGAAAATAAAGTTAAATCATGTTCTGAGTGTCAGAGTAACCAGAAGATGGCGCCGCCCGCGCCACTACATCTGTGGGAGTGGCCTGACCGCCCATGGTCCAGGCTGCACATAGACTTTGCAGGCCCTTTCATGGGTCACATGTTCCTTGTCATGGTGGACGCGCACTCCAAATGGCTGGAGAGTACATCATGAGCAACATCACAGCGACCACAACCATCGAAAAGCTTCGGCAGGTGTTTGCAACCCATGGTCTGCCTGACTCTCTTGTGTCCGACAACACAACAGCATTTACCTGAGACTTGTTCCAAGAATTAATGCGGAGAAACGGGATTTGCCATGTCCGCAGCGCTCCGTTTCACCCGGCCTCAAATGGCTTAGCGGAGCGGGCTGTGCAGACACTGAAAGAGGGGCTCAAAGGGATGACTGGGGGAACCATCACAACTAAGCTCTCTCGGTTCTTGTTCCAGTACCGCATCACGCCACAAACAATAACAGGACAGGCTTCAGCGGAGATGTTAATGGGCAGAAAGCCAAAAGCTCACCTGGATCTACTGCGTCCGGACATCAAAGCATGAGTGGAACGGAAGCAGGAGAAACAAAAAGAGAGACATGACCACCACGCGAGGGAGAGACAGTTAAAACCCAATGACACTGTCTACATCCGCAACTTCACAAGCAGCCAACGCTGGTTGCCAGGTATCATTCTGAATCAGAGTGGTCCCGTCTCCTTTGTGGTCAAACTGACTGATGGTCGAGTCATGCACAGGCACCAGAACCACCTACGCCTGCGCTATGACAAAGACAAGACCATGTTTTCAGACGGAACACCTGTGGGTGGTAGAATATAAGTTGAAACCCCACAGGAAACAGTATCGGAGGAACAGGGGCATTCAGTGGTTCCAGCAGAGGGTGATGGACATTCTCTCACAAACACCCAACCCACTCCTGTGTCCTCAGACCCAGCTCCACTGGGACACACCTTACCTGTGTCTCATGGCATACCAGGAGTACTGCGCAGATCACAGCGTAGTCACAAGCCTCCTGAAAGACTAACTCTGTAGTTGAGACTGAGAGACTCGTGGTGTTAGTGTTTGTTTGGAGCAGCAGACCTAGTTGAAAAGAAATAAGGACTGTCATTTTTTTGTTTTGTTTACATTTACAGTAACACCAGCAGAAGTTCTACAGTGTTGTGTAGTAAAGAAAAGAAAACACTGATGTGGTTTACTTGTTAACCTTATGTTTTCCTTACAGGGGGGATTTAAATTGAGGGGGGAGAAGTGTTATAGTGTGGACACTATATAAATAATTACATTGAATATGTGTTGTACTTACCTGCAGTATAGTATGATTGCTATTCATGTGTGCATGGTTATTATTGGCATTGACCGTGACCTTTCCCCTTTGATGACGTCATCACCAAGAGTCAGATCTGTACAATGTGATTCTACCACAGGTTGAGTGGGCTGTATCGTTCTGCTGTTTTTGTACCGTTTGTACATGGCTGTACACCTTTTATTTTTTGGGTTGAAAGTAAAGGAAAGTAATATTAAAATGTGTGTGACCATTCCTTGTCAAGTTACTACAACCTCTAAAAACAGAGCCACGTGGCAAGATAGGAAGTGCAAGGAGATTAAAACCAGACTTCCAATGAGTTCAATCACTCAATTTTCTCTATGTTTATCCTCATAAAAGTTAGTTACATTTTGAGCAACATAATAAGTTGTATTTTTGTTGTGGGCTAACTGAAATTAACTAATCATTGAAACGACTTGCATTCATTTTCATGAAGTATACAGTATGGCAGTATTGTTGAGTGTGTAATATTCCAATGAAATTCCAATGAAATGTACCATATTGCTGCCCCAGCAGTCAGGGATGAAATTAGAGCTCCCCGCCTTTACAAGCACCAAAACCTCCCCCAAAGTTTTTTTTTTACAACACTTTCTTGAAAATACCAATATTCAGATTGAAGAACCACTTTGGGTGTTTTAGAGTACTTGTAGTCTGTTTTAAAACGCTTTCTGTGTATCATAACACTTACATTCAAACACAATCCACCACCAGATCTCAGGTTAGGTGCATCACTTTCCATGGTTTCATTACACAATCATGGTGTTTTGAGTCTTTCTATTTTTAAAGTGTAGAGGAAAGGGCAGAGTTGGGACATCTGTCTTTCTTACATCACTGCACTAACCGCTTGATGCCCTAGCATAAACATTAGGACAAAAAATTGTATCTGAGTGCATTTCCAAAGTGGCTAGTTTTCATCAACTATCTTCACTAAAACCAATGCAAAGATTTTGCCTGCAAACTTTGGTTTCAAATTGCAACGTTCTGGCATGTCTGCCTTGTGATTTGTTAGGAGAGTTCTGTCTGAAGTCTTCTGTCTGAGGAGAACCCTCCCCAGAACAATTTTGGTCCCTTTTCAAGCTGCCATGAGAATCTGCTATTAATCCCAGACCTCGTGCTGTTGCTGCCCAGGGTCTGGGATTTCAAAGACTAGTTAGGTACTGCTTCCCTCCCACTGGGATTAGACCTTACCCTAACCCTTTGCTGGAGCAAAGGAGTCTGGGAGTCAGAATATGACATTGAACATCACAGACAGGGCCCTGTCTATAACGCGGGCCCTTGCTGACCCCGGAGGGCCTCATCATCCCACAACATTAACCATGGTTCTCTCTGGAGATCCATGGGATGTATGTGCCCCCCACCCCAGGATTAGGGCACTCACCTTGGGACCAGGAAGACCAGGCAGGCCAGAGTTTCCATGTGGACCAGTAGGACCCTAGAAACAGATGCACAGAGAGAGAGAGAGAGAGAGAGAGAGAGAGAGAGAGAGAGAGAGAGAGAGAGAGAGAGAGAGAGAGAGAGAGAGAGAGAGAGAGAGAGGTTACTTCATCTGACCTTTTCCATTGATTGTTGTAAGTTGTCTGGATGTGTTGTTCATTTACAATGTGCAAATAAAAGACACAAAAACCCCGGACTCAGCCCCTGAAAGTAAAAAAGTAGAGACTCAGAGCTACAAAATGGTATATCATACACTGCATTTGAGGAATAATGGGAAAGTAATTCTGTTTGAAAGTTGATACATTTGTAACCCCACTTTTGAGAGAATGGCCCTTGAATGTTTTGGTACACCTACTGGAGAGCTCTTCTTTGTCTATACCCATTCAGCATCGTTCACACCCTCTTAAGCCTTAGCCCCACCCATCTTTTTAAGGATTCACATGTGAGGCCATGTGCTAAACAGAGTGAGTTGTATAATAAAGATTTTAAGACATAAAATGGTCAAACTAGTAGCCTACAAAAAGGAAAATTATCAGGTAAAAATACACTTAATCTAGGCCTATATCCTAATCTGACTTTGGTGCAGGTCATGTTGTTCTTCACATTACCGTCTCTGGTAAACACACACTATATCAAATAAAATCAAAGTTTATTTGTCACATGTATAGGATACAGAAGGTGTAAACAGTACAGTGAAATGGTTATTTGCATATTTGCATAGTAGCAATATCAAAAACAGAAAGTGTCCAGACAAATATATTTTATAAGTATTAGATGACACATACCCAGACACACTTGCCCAGACACAAATTGCTGGATCATGTGAAAGAAATGCTATAATGGGGAATATATTATTTATTATGCGCATTTGCTTACATTATTAAAAACTATGGAGGCCTTGACAGCTGAAAGTTCTCAGAAACCTGAAACCACAATTGCCACATTGTCTTTAGACATGTCTGTTTTTATTGTCTGACACCTCACCCCCTGATACTGAGTTTGTGGGAAGACAGGATTAGGAAGAACACTTTGTTGATTGCTAGGGCAAGTTCAGAGTCAGGGGAAAACATCACGCTATGGGAAGGGAGTGCTAGTATAAAAAGCAGAGATTGTTCTAGACACTTTGCAGAACTTATAATAATAATAATAATATGCCATTTAGCAGACGCTTTTATCCAAAGTGACTTACAGTCATGCGTGCATAAATGTTTGTGTATGGGTGGTCCCGGGGGTGAACCCACTAACTTGGCGTTACAAGCGCCGTGCTCTACCATATACTCAGAAGCCGTTGTCTGTGTCATTTTCTAAAGTTTAAAGTTTGTTTAAGAATAAGAGAATATCAGCACTGTGCAAAGAACCCTCTACATTTTGGCGAGCTTGCCAGGAGTGAGTGACCACCCGCCGTTGGAGTGAGCGTGGACCCACTGTGCCACGCAACTAATTACTTAAGGGTAAGCAGACGCCTGTTATATCTAAAGTCTGTAGTTTGAACAAAGCACTGTGTGGTTGATGACTCTTTCTGACACGTAAGTGGCGCCTCAATCACAGTATGCTGTTCATTTAAGAGACAAAACCTACATTGTGGTGTATATTGATTTATTAATAAACTCTTAATTGATAAACCTGTTGGAAACTGACAAAGATCACCTAGGTGATAGTTAGAAATTCCTAGGTGTGAATATGTACAGTGGGGAGAACAAGTATTTGATACAGGCTTTTTTTGCAGGTTTTCCTACTTACAAAGCATGTAGATGTCACGCCCTGGCTCTAGGGACTCTTTTATGTTGAGCCAGGGTGTGTAGTGTCTATGTTTTGTGTTTCTATGGTAGTCTCTAGTTATGTGTTTTCTATGTTGGCCGGTGTGGTTCTCAATCAGAGGCAACGTGAATCAGCTGTTGATTGTTGTCTCTGATTGGGTACCATACTTAGGCAGCCTGTTTGGCACAGTGTATGGTGGGATCTTGTTCCGTGTTGGTTTGTGTTTGTTACCAAGGACTTCACGTATCGTTTTGTTGTTTTTGTTCGTGTGGTGAATATATAATAAAGTATGTTTGCATTCCACGCTGCGCATTGGTCCAATCCTTTCGACGATCATGACAGAAGATCCCACCAGAACTGGACCAAGCAGCGTGTTTCGGAGCAAACGCCGGGTAGGGAGCTAGAGAAGTTGGCGATGGCCCAGGTGGGCCAATGGTGGTCCTGGGAGGACATGTTCGAGGGCAGAGGACCATGGGCAAGGGTTAAAGCCCTGGCGAGAGAGGAGGTACGGCGCCAACAGTGTTGTCGTCGGACAGGCGAGAGGCACCCCCAAGACATTTTTAGGGGGGGGGCACATGGCATGGGCGACGGGGCTGCTGGAGGCAGATAAAGAGCGAGTTTGTGGACGAGGAGAGAAGGCCACCGGGTTACGGGAGCCATTGGTGATTAGAGGGAGGGAAAGTGTAGAGGCACGGCGAGAGGTACTGAAGTGTGTTGCCAGTCCGGTCCGGCCCTTTCCTGATCCCCGTATAAGGCCAGTGGTGTGTGTTCCTAGTGCGGTCCGGCCTGTTCCTGCTCCCCGCACCAAGCCTATGGTGCGCGTCGCCAGCCCGGCCCGGCCTGTTCCTGCTCCCCGCACCAAGCCAATGGTGCGCGTCGCCAGCCCGGTCCGGCCTGTTCCTGCTCCCCGCACCAAGCCTATGGTGCGCGTCGCCAGCCCGGCCGGCCTGTTCCTGCCCCTCGCACCAAGCCAATGGTGCGCGTCGCCAGCCCGGTCCGGCCTGTTCCTGCCCCTCGCACCAAGGCCAATAGTGCGCGTCGCCAGCCCGGCCCGGCCTGTTCCTGCCCCTCGCACCAAGCCAATGGTGAACGTCGCCAGCCCGGCCCGGCCTGTTCCTGCTCCCCGCACCAAGCCTGTGGTGCGCATCGCCAGACCGGCCCGGCCTGTTCCTGCTCCCCGCACCAAGCCAATGGTGCGCGTCGCCAGCCCGGCCAGGCCTGTTCCTGCTCCCCGCACCAAGCCAATGGTGCGCGTCGCCAGCCCAGTCCGGCCTGTTCCTGCCCCTCGCACCAAGTCAATGGTGCGCGTCGCCAGCCTGGCCCGGCTTGTTCCTGCCCCTCGCACCAAGCCAATGGTGCGCGTCGCCAGCCCGGTCCAGCCTGTTCCTGCCCCTCGCACCAAGCCAATGGTGCGCGTCGCCAGCCCGGCCCGGCCTGTTCCTGCCCCTCGCACCAAGCCAATGGTGCGCGTCGCCAGCCCGGCCCGGCCTGTTCCTGCTCCCCGCACCAAGCCTGTGGTGTGCGTCGCCAGCCCGGCCCGGCCTGTTCCTGCTCCCTGCACCAAGCCAATGGTGCGCGTCGCCAGCCCGGCCCGGCCTGTTCCTGCTCCCCGCACCAAGCCTGTGGTGTGCGTCGCCAGCCCGGCCCGGCCTGTTCCTGCTCCCCGCACCAAGCCAATGGTGCGCGTCGCCAGCCCGGCCTGTTCCTGCTCCCCGCACCAAGCCTATGGTGCGCGTCGCCAGCCCGGCCCGGCCCGTTCCTGCTCCCCGCACCAAGTCAGTGGTGCGTGTCGTCAGCCCGGTCCGGCCCGTTCCTGCTCCCCGCACCTAGCCAGGGGTGCGCGTCGTCAGCCCGGTCCGGCCCGTGCCCGGTTCACCGGTGCCTGGTCAGGTACCGGTCAGCTGCTTCACACCGGAGCCTAAGCAATCCGCTCCACCGATGTCCAGTCCAGCTCCAGCCAGCGGGGCCAGACCAGACCAGGGGCACTACGGGGGGGTTATTAGAGGGTGGTGGTCACGCCCGGAGCCGGATCCGCCTCCGAGGAGGAATGCCCACCCGGCCCTCCCCTGTTCGGTTTATGTTAGGCGCGGTCGCAGTCCGCGCCTTTGGGGGGGGGGGGGGGGGGGGGGTACTGTCACGCCCTGGCTCTGGGACTCTTATATGTTGAGCCAGGGTGTGTAGATTCTATGTGTTTGTGTTTCTATGTTAGGATCTAGTTCATGTGTATCTATGTTGGCCGGGGTGGTTCTCAATCAGAGGCAACGAGAATCAGCTGTTGCTTGTTGTCTCTGATTGGGAACCATACTTAGGCAGCCTGTTTGGCACAGTGTATTGTGTGATCTTGTTCCGTGTTGGTTTGTGTTTGTTACCAAGGACTTCACGTATCGTTTTGTTGTTTTTGTTCGTGTGGTGAATATATAATAAAGTATGTTCGCATTCCACGCTGCGCATTGGTCCAATCCTTTTGACGATCGTGACACCCTCCAGAGAGATCTCATATGGATATTCAAGAAATAGCATGAATGGACAATTAGTCACTGGGAATTTCGGTTTCCCAAAGATGGGTCTTTTGACAAGAATCGTCCATGATATAGTGGAGAAGAGAAAACAAGACAAGAAAATGTCAGAGAAAAAAAGCCACACTGGTATCTCTAACTGTTTTACAACTACTCTGGTCAGAGGGGACCGTATTTTGGGCACGTTCAAGGATAACCCATCTGCACTACTCCGGTCAGAGGTGACCGTGTTTTGGGCACGTTCAAGGATAACCCATCTGCAGACAGTGGAAAAAAGGGAAGAAGACGAGAAGAAAGAACAAGAGGAGAAATCTGGTGTGACATCCTATAAGAAAGTCTACTAAGCACTCCCAACAGCACCACCTCTCCATATGAAGACGACCACTCTGGTTACAAAAGGGGTGTATTCCCATTGAGGCAGGACAATTCCGGCTCAGAAGCCAAGGTGAAAAATATAATAATCAGAGGTACCCTGGAAGAGACCGGAAAAGGAACACAAACCCCGGTCCGGGGCCCTCAATGGGTACAAGACTGACAAGAGAACTGGGTAAGTTGGACTTGGACGCAAGAACCAAGCCACTCTCTGCATCCAAGCCTAAATACCCCTACACCAGGACAGGACAATCAGTGATGGAAGAAGAACAAAATGAAAGAAGGAGAGAAAGAGAGAAGAGATTAATCAGGAAAGTGAAGAATGATGGAGAGTGGACAGAGAGAGAGAGGATGAAGAGGAAAGACGGAAAAGAGAAAGGGAGTACGAAGAGGAAAGACGGAAAAAATAAAAGTGAGTACAAGATAAGGTGGGAAGTAGACACAGAAGGTGCCTTCTCTCCAAGAGCCAGACAAGACATGGAAGACAAAATAGCAGCTGAAATACTACTATGATGTGGAGAGAATGAAGAAACAAGAAGAAATGAGATTGGTGAAAGGTATGATAACACCCTAACCGCTGAATAACTATTCTATGACAGAGCCTGCAGGAGCGTGCCAGAGTCAGTACAACAGAAACTGTAAGAAGTAGTTGGCTGGAACCGCAAGGACTATATGAGACATCACTGTAAATTCTGAAAAAAGACAAAGGCTGAAGACAAATCTAAGAAAACAGGCCTGCAGACACAACTCCAGAAGGCCCAACTGGCTGCACTAGAGAAAAGTAGCAAGCCAGACACATTGATGCTGAGTACTCCAGCACCTGCACCAGCTCCAACACCTGTCCCACCCCCATGGCCCCCTGCAGCGGCCCCAGCTCAACAGGTACAGTTTCCACCACAGCCTTATGGTAATCCACAGCCATTCCAGCCCTATCAAACCTACCAGAGCAGGCACATAGGTGAGCCTATAGTCTGCTGGGGATGTGGTATAGCTGGACATATGAGACACCAGTGCCCCACTGCTGTGGACCAGGAGGGTTGGGCACCACAGCCAGGCTTCAGAAGAGGCCGGGGTGGAACTGGCTAAGGAACCCCACACGTGTGTACTGAACTAATCGAACTTGATGCAAAAGCAAGACCCGACCTATTTGATGAACCTCTTGAGTTGGCTGACATGTCACTTTTCGTAGATGGGTCAGCTTACATTGATCAGACGACAGGAAGGAAACATGCAGGTTTTGCTGTAACAACTATAGATAAATCACTACACATAGAGCAGTCCCTCCCTGATCATTTCTCTGCACAACAAGCAGAGTTGCTAGCTCTCACCATAGCCTGTGAGGCTGCTGAAGGAAAAACAGTTAACATTTACTCGGACTCTGTTTTGGCTCTTATTTCGGCTATGTAATAGCCGGGTAATCAAGATGAGGCAAGTAAGGGAAATGACCTTGCTGACACTGCTGCTAAAGCAGCTGCTGCAAGGTATCACACCCATGCTGTGTATCTGGCTTCTGCTGTGGCCTCACCTGTTGCTGATTTGCAACAACAGCAGGCGACTGACCACACGTCTCACTCCCTTTGGGAGGCCAGAGGTTGCTCCCGGGGCCCTGATGGCCTCTGGAGACAACACCTTTCAGGTAAACCTGTGTTGCCAACACAGCTTATCCCATCGGTTTGCCGAATGGCACATGGGATGTGTCATTTGTCAAGAGGGGATATGGTAACCAAGATTTCACAAGATTGGTTTTGCCCATATTTAACAGAACATGTGAAACAACACATTTTTAAATGCGTCATGTGCATACACTACAACATTGCCAAGGGGTCACCACTTAAACCTGGTCATTTCCCCTCACCTAGTGGCCCATTTACACACATTGCAATGGATTTTATTGATATGACTGAAAGAAAGGAGAGAAAGCATTATTGTTTAGTAATAATTGACAGATTCACAAGATGGGTAGAGGCATTTCCTACTACCCACTGTGATGCTAAAACAGTAGCTAAAATTCTGGTAAGGGAAGTATTCCCTAGATTCGGAATCCCAGAAACCTTGTCTGCAGACAATGGCACCCATTTCACTGAAGATGTCATAGCCCAAATTACCCTTATGCTGGGGATAGATCAGATGAAAATGCGAAGCAGCCCCAACAGAGGCACTGGGTATAGCCCTCATGAGATGTTAACAGGCCGTCCCATGAATGTCCCATCTCATAGGCCCATGACTGACAAACAGACTGACCTGACTAGACTGGAAGATGAGCTGTTAGGATATATGAAGGAACTAACTTCTACTGTTAGGTCTCTGTATTCTCATTCTAGGAAAGCCCAGGAAGTGCCAGCCGGAGAGGATAAAGACGACATCCCTGTCCAAATCGGAGACTGGGTGAAACTGAAGGTTCACAAGCGAAAATGGAACCAGCCAGGATGGATGGGACCATAACAAGTGATCCAGGCTACCCCGACGGCTGTCAGAGTGACTGAGAGACAGGGATGGCACCACCTGTCACACTGCCAGAAGATGGAGAAGCACCCACCAAAAGAATGAAGAATGACTAGAACCTGCCACCTGATGAAGACTCAACAGATCTGCATGGACTCCATGGAGACAGAAGGAGGGGAGGCCGTGATCCACATCCACTGGGCCATGAATGTGCTGTGTTATGTGTAATAATCTGTGCTCTGCTTGCTTCCTCAGTCTTGGGGGTGGAAATACAGAACAACCAATTGAAGTCAACCAATCCTGGGTAAATTTGCTGCAGGGCCTGGGTAGGAGAGCATCAACAAATGGGTCCGGAATAGTGATGTTCCCGAAACCTTCTTCAGCGGGTGAGCTGTTTGGTATTATGGGTAAGCCTCTATCAGAGGACGATATGACCTGTGGATATCTCCACTTTATGAGATGTGATAAAACTAACAAGGAACAAGGCATATTTTTATATATCGCCACTAAAACAGGTACCAATAGTGCAACTATCCTAGCAAGCCTCTCTGACAATGTGCCCATCCCCCATATTAAATCTGACCCCTGGAGGGTTTGACGGCCCTGACGGAACTGAAACAACTCATAACTACTTCCCCATGCTTGGGGCTCCCTAACCACTCTAAACCAGTTAATCTGATTGTGTGTGAAAATAATGGTTTTATGTCCTCTGTTTTGACACAGGAACATGGAGGAAAGCAGAGACCCGTGTGTTACTATTCTAAGCAATTGGACAGTGTGGCGAGAGTGTCTGGTGTGTTGTTTGAGGGTGGTGGCTGTGGATACTCTCATCTCACAGGCTAGGACTGCTCATCTGACTCCAGCGAGGTTGCTACACTATCAGAATGTGCTTCTAACCATGTCTCATGTGGCCCTGAAAAGGTGCACTGTGCTCAATCAGGCTACATTGTTGCCAACAAAAAAGGATGGAGAAACCCATGACTGTGCAGCTCTGATGGAGCTTGTATCATTGCGAAAACAGCGTGGGTTCCTCAAATCCTCTGGGGAAACTATTTCTCACTCAACTTGTTGATAACCTATTGAAAGCTATTCTTCACCCTTCTGAAATAGTTGTATGTCAATAGACTAACCATGACTGTCCACTGTATAACCAGTCTGTTAATAGACTGCTGTACACCATGTAAATGTTTGGCTCGTACTAACTATTTTGATCCTGTCTCCAAGGGCAACACAATGGCAGATCTGGAAGCAAAAGCAGCAGCTGCATCTGCTGATTCCCCTGTGTTGCAGATGATTTCGGTTCCTATTATGAATCTCTTCTCCGCTACTGACATCTCTGACTTGCAATCCTCTGTAGGTCCTGTCGAGTTGAGGAAGTGGAAGAGGCTGTGTACATATGACAATGTGCAGAAACTGTGGTTGGGACCGGCTGGGCTCCCAATTCTGCCACGTTCTTGTTTTCCCTAGCTTGCTAAGTTGGCACATGAAACTTTTTGTTTACCTGGTAAAGTAACGTTAGACGGAAAGACCGAGGTAGAGTATAGTAGAGATTGTAGAGGGAAACAAGTATTTGAGGGGAAGAGAAATGTACTGGGTGATGGTGATTGAGAGGGCTTCTGAGTTAAAGGAAACATATATGTAGTTAGTGAAAGGAAATAGGAAGTTGATTGGAAAGTAAAATGGAAAGTAAGAATTCATATTTTGAATTGTTTGGACTGATTAAGATGGTGAAACTCATGGCAGAAACGGGCCTCCCCTGGGTCACGGTAATGCCACTCGCATTGATGTACATGAGGGGGCGGGCACACAGAACTACTGGGCTGGCCCCGCATGAGAATTTTTTCCACAGAACAAGCTGACCCTGATGGGCTGCAATGACGATATGGTAAGTTACTGCACTGCTCTAAACAATGTTATGAAGGCTATTTTTCCCACGGTGAAAGCAGCCTTGCCTCAGCCACTGGTGGGAATCCTTACATAAGCTTCAACCTGGTGACTGGGTAGTGGTCAAGGACCTGAGGAGGAAGCATTGGAACCAGCAGAGGTGGACTGGACCGTTCCAGGTGTTGCTGACCACCCCCACCGCTGTTTGAGTAGCTGAGAGGTCTATGTGGATCCACGCCAGCCACTGCAGGAGGGTGCCATACCACTAGGGGGATGATGGACTTCAGGACGGCGCAGGGTCATCGTCGAGGGACTAGATGGCCATGGGAGACTCTGCGCATCATGTTTTATTTTTATTTTGTCTTGAGCCTTCTCATTACAGTTACCATATGGACAGTGACTCAAGGACAACCAGTCCTGGAAGAAGGACAAAATGGCATGGCCTCGACTGATGTCCGCTCAGTCCCATAGCGGGACTTAAATAACAGCTACTCCCGCCCCCCTAGGGTGAAGCTACGAGAAAGGTACCGTCTCTGTACCGTCTCCAGGATTTCATCATGCTGACCCCTATCACTGCGTTCTTTATCAGAGAGATGACTGTCCTATTTGCTGTGATGAGGCGTGTGTCTAGCAATCTGTATTTTCTGTTTCTCATTTCAATTTTTTACATTGTGATAATGTCTTGAGGAATAAAGGTTGTAAACTCAGTTTCCCAACGGAGGAAGCTTACATGGAAATAGAGTACTCGACAGTGAGGGTTTTTAATTCATTCATTTTATTGGTTTTCATTGTAACCATTGCCATGTAAGATGTTACTGTTCTGATGTCTCCGGAAGGAACGGAGTCCCTTGAGAAAGAGAGTGTGGTGGAGAATCATAATTAGTTAAGTAACATAGATAATTAAGATGTCTTATATGCAGAATATGCTTATGATTGAACTGTTGAACTCTTGATATTAGAATGTCTCCCTTTGGACTCTGGTGTTGACAGCTGCACTCCCTCCCTTATATGGGCCTCAGTCACCTGGGGCCCAGAGAGGGGAGAAGTCAGGCTTGTCTATCACATGTCCCTGTTGCTATGCAGAATATCAGAAAGAGAATAGGGCAAAGGAGGTCAGAAGGAAACATTGCAAACCATGTGAAGGGATGGCGTGAGTAATGGGGAACCAATCACTTGTCTCCATAATGTCTGTGCGTAAGTCACCCCCTCCTTGGGCCTTGGTGGAGATTGTTATCTCCCCTGGTTCCCTTTTTAGCAAGGTGGAGACTAAGTAACAACAAATGTCCTTTTAAGTTCTTAGCACTGAACAAAACAACAAGTAATTTGTATTTGGGGCCAAAGTCTGGCACAGGATGTGTGGGGTTGCTGTCTGGAGCCATTATACGTAATCTCTGATGTTGCACTTACCTGAGATAGTATGGAATTATGTTTTCACTGGTTGGTTTTAAAATTCCTAGATTTTGTTGAGACTTAGTAGTCTCAAAGAGGGGAATGATGGGGAATATATGATCTATCTTTGAATTACTCCCCTCTGGGCGTAGGTATAGGGCACCCCTCAGCAGGAAAAAATAGAACGAGACAATCATTTGTGCCAGGTGTGATATCCCTCTTAAATAGCTCGGGCAAATGTTCCCATTGACCCCGTAAGGCCAGCAGGCTAGTCTTTGTTTTAAATGTTTTAAATGTTTTATTTCTTATTTCTTACTTTTATTGGTGCGTGACTGTTATTGAAAGTTGTATTGTCAATCTTGTTTTGTATTTAACGCCACTTTAAATGTGTACATGACACTGCAACAACATTTTCCCATGGGGACAATAAAGTAAAGTAAGTAAGTAAGTATTATGCGCATTTGCTTACATTATTAAAAACTATGGAAGCCTTGACAGCAGAAAGTTCTCAGAAACCTGCAACCATAATTACCACATTGTCTTTAGACATGTCTGGTTTTATTGTCTGACACCTCACCCCCTGACACTGAGTTTGTGGGAAGACAGGATTAGGAAGAATACTTTGTTGATTGCTAGGGTAAGTTCAGAGTCAGGGGAAAACATCACGCTATGGGAAGGGAGTGCTAGTATAAAAAGCAGAGATTGTTCTAGACACTTTGCAGAACTTATGAAGAGCTATACAAATCCTGTTGACTCTGTATTAACGTCTGCCTGCAATTGCATAACAAAATATATTTTGCATATACTCAGAAGCCGTTGTCTGTGTCATTTTCTAAAGTTTAAAGTTTGTTTAAGAATAAGAGAATATCAGCACTGTGCAAAGAACCCTCTACAGGTCTCTACAGGTGTAAACGGTGTAGTGACTTAGTCATACTGTATGTCAGCAAAAGTTCCCAGTTGAGATCTTTTATCTACAAAGATTAAAGGTAGATAAGGCAGACATGTGTTTCTAAAACTGCTGAATGAGTCAATGATTGTAGGCTGTGAGGAGATATAGTGAGACGTTTTCTGAGTATTACACATATTTTAAGTCACATTTTTCTTCATGTGTCAAACTATGCCCTACCTTTAAACCGTACAGGAGTGCACTTTCAAGGGAACACCTTATAACATACATACATGCACTCACTTTGAGTACAACCCACACATGTTGGAACAACCACATGTGCATGCACACACACAAGCATACACACACACACATCTGCACCCCTGCTGTTGCCTGGCTTAAACTGCTTTCTCTCTAAAACACCCACTACAAACTAAAGCCATGAGGTAAGACTCTGCTCTCTCTCATAACAGTAATCAGTCACCATAAATGGCTGTGATCAGGCGATGACAGAGACGTAATGTAGAGGTAATGATGACCCACAGCCAGTTTACAGGTGTCTGTGTATCCTCTTGACACTGGGTTGGGTTGTGGTGTCAGTCTCTTTCTCCCACCCAGCCCTCCAACCTCTCCCCCTTGTGCTCTACTTTCTGTGCCCTTTACTCCAGTAAAACCCCATAACAAAGGATCTCTCTTCCCCCTCTGCCTCCCTCCCTCCTCTCCCATCTATCTAACTACCCGTCTCGCTCTCTCCCCCTCTATCACTGTAACTCTCTCCTCCTAACTCTCTCTATCACTTCCCTCTCTCAGTGCAGAGCAGATTACTTCAAGTGGGGGTCTGTTCTGTGTGTATAAAGTGCTTACACCTGTGGAGTGTGGGGCTAAGCTAAGGTACAGTACAGGTAAGTTCAGTACAGTGAGGTCTGGAGGTCTGTATCTTGCTGAGGCAGCAGAGGTCGCAGCCCACACAGATACAACCACCCATTACAGTCGTGTTCCACTCCATAATGAAGCCTCCCTCCGACTGTCTATGTCTCTATGGGTCACCACACTGTATGCAAACCATATGTCTCCACAGTTGGGTCCCACAAGGGTTTACCATTATACAGTAGTTTACCTGTAGACAACTTTTACTGCCTGCTTGGCTGGCTGCTGGAGGGTCCCTGTCTGACACACACCAAACAAGCGGAACCAAGAGGCGTGATGTGTTTTAAAGAAGACATTACAAAGTTAAAAACAGAGAGAGGTCCTCCTGTGGTCTTCCTGAGTATAGCTGGCTAACTGTGATAGGCACAAGCACACACTCGCACACATACGCACACGCACTCGCGCGCACACATGCACACGCACACACACACACACACACAGATGCACACACACACACTCCAGGTATACTACCACTCTCAAAGGATAAATGTATATCATTCACTCTATAGCAGAAAGTTCAGAAATGCCAGGGCATTGATCGGCATTCGACCGCAAGGCGCTACAGAGGGTAATGCGTTTGGCCCAGTACATCTCTGGGGCCAAACTCCCTGCCATCCAGGACCTCTATACCAGGCGGTATCAGAGGAAGGCCATACATTTTTTAAAGACTCCAGCCACCCAAGTCATAGACCGTTCTCTCTGCTACAACACGGCAAGCGGTACCGGAGCGCCAAGTCTGGGACCAAAAGGCTCCTGAACAGCTTCTACCCCCAAGCCATAAGACTACTGAACAGTTAATCAAATGGATACCCAGACTATTTGCATTGACACCCTTTATTATTTATTTTGTATTGCTATTTTTCTTGCACTGGCTCTATGCACACTCATTAGACTCTACCCACACACTCACACATACTACACTGATACTCCAACACACACACATACACACACACATTACATATGCTCACACACAAAACACACACACACACACACACACAAGCATCTTGATGCCACACACACACACACTCACACCTACACTCACACAAGCATATTGATGCCACACACACACACACACACACACACACACACACAAGCATCTTGACGCCACACACACACTCACACATACACTCACACATACACTTTCACACTCTTCACATATGCTGCTGCTACTCTGTTTATTATCTATCCTGATTACCTAGTCACTTTTACCCCTACCTAAATGTACATACTATATTACCTCAATTGCCTCAACTACCTCTTTACCCTCCCTGTACATTGACTCGGTACTGGTACTCCTTGAAAATAGCCTTGTTATTGTTATTTTATTGTGTTACTATTTATTTATTTTATTTTTGCAAATATTTGTCTTACTTTTTGAACTCTACATTGTTGGGAATGGGCTCGTAAGGAAGCATTTCACGGTAAAGACTACACCTGTTGTATTCTGTGCATGTGACCAATAAAATGTGATGCTCCAAAAGCCAGTAAAGAAGGCTTGGGCGGTAAACCGTATATATACTGTATACCACGGGATGGTTTTTCAATACTTTCAATACCGTTGAAACTATTTCTTTGAGGTTTTTCAATAAATGTGAATATTTGTAGCCAATTTTTTTGTAAATACCTGAAGCCAACTTGTGCAATACGTTAGGAGGTAAAATGATTGCGTTCTTCATTTCACCTGTCACATTATTTTAAATTATGAAGCTTTATGTAGTTCCCCAGACCTCAGAACAGTTGAGCGAGTCACGTTTGTTAGTAAATAGCACAACGGGAGAAAGCGCGAGCTGGTGAGTCCAGCTGTGTATTTGGTTTAACTTGCTAGTTAGCAAAGTAAGTGGCTGAATTAATGAGGAGATAGGGCATCATATAGTGTTAGCTTTCTGCTGTGTTTGAGAAGTCAAAGGGCTGTGGATGAGTTATCTGTACAGCTGCCACTGCTATCTTGATGTCCTTCATTTTTTATCCTTTCGGTTCTCGGCCCCTCAGTCTGCTCCTCTGCCCCTCTTCTCAGAGAAAGCAAGCGTCGTTGCCCTAGCGACTACAGACACCACACAGACACAGCATGTACACATGCTGCTCCAGAGTGCTGTTTTTCCTTCAGACTAGCATGCGTCCAAACTTTGTTCATTTGCACTGTCTCTCGTTCACATTTGGTTGTAAATGTCCAAACTCACCAAAAAATACATTCTGTACCTACTATGTATATATGTAGAACTTTATGAGCTGGATTGCCTGTCTTTGTAATTAGTTTATTTTCGTTTGCGGTCGTTAGCATATTTAGCAAGTACTGTAGAAATTCACTAGTACTTGTGCTAATTTTGTTAGCATTCTGGTAATAGACGCCCAATGGGCTATTTTATTTTATTGAAAGAAGACTCAAGGCTGTAATCGCTGCAGAAGGTGCTTCAACAAAGTACTGAGTAAAGGGTCTGAATACCTTTGTAAATGTGAAATGTAAATGTTTTTATTTTAAATACATTTCTAAAATGTCTAAAAAGCTGTTTTTGCTTTGTCATTATGGGGAATTGTGTGTAGATTGATGAGAAAAAACAAACTATTTAATCCATTTTAGAATAAGGCTGTAATGTAACAAAATGTGGAAAAAGTCAATTGGTCTGAATACTTTCCGAATGCACTGTAGCACTGTACTAGACAAGACTGCTAGGGTTAAGACAAATCTGGGGAAAGGGATCTTCTTTCAATCCGTTTATCACATCAAGGAGGGGTGTGGCACCTCCAGAAGCACAATGGCATCACAGTGACGTCACATGACCACAGGTGTGACAGGTGACACATGGTTTACAGTACTCACCCGAGCTCCTCTCTTCCCAGCAGGACCAGGTAGACCAGGGGGACCAGGAGGACCCTGTTACAGAGAGAGTGACAAAGAGAGAGAGAGAGAGAGAGGTGACAAAGAGAGAGAGAGAGAGAGAGAGAGAGAGAGAGAGAGAGAGAGAGAGAGAGAGAGAGAGAGAGAGAGAGAGAGAGAGAGAGAGAGGAGAGAGAGAGAAGAAAGAGAGAGAAGGAGAGTGAGAAAGAACAAGAGGAGATGAGAGATGTTACAGACACACAAATAACGTGCTAATTGAGAAGTGATAACATGCTGTTTAATGTACAGGCAGATGTGGGGAGGTGGATACTGTATTTATGTGAGAGGCCTAGACAAGTTCAAATCAAAGGAGGCAAATGTTTTTTTAAACTCCAAATCGCTAATAGTAAAGCTCTGAGAGGATGGTGATATCATGTTACATCGTCTAGATGAGCCTGAAGTACGATGCCACAAGCCAGTTCTGGGATTAAGATAAACTCTTTGTCGTGAAAAAACAACCATGGAGGAAACACATGGTATGATTCCACTTCCTGTTCTTTTGGACCCAAGATGTAAAAGGAGAAAGAAAGGGAAAAAAAACGAATGTGCTCAAAACTTTTATATTCCAGAGTTGGAACTGAAGATTCTAGTACAGCACTTGTAAAACATGACTTTGATTACATTAAACCTGGTATGTTATGTGGCAGCTTTTTTTCTATCCAACGCATAACAAACTCACACAAATGCACACATCAACAGAGATGTGGAGTAAGGAGCTAACTTGCAAACAAGTCAGACTTCAGCTTGGCTCTCTCAAACGGGATCCAGATGTAGGATCTTAATTTGAGCCAGTTTGCTACAGCAGGAAACTAATCCTGCAGCAACAGGAAATGTTCATTATTATGTGGATTATAATAAATTGACATTTTTGTAGGGGTTGATAAATTTTTTGTAAGGGAAAATTATGTCTGAAATTTCAAAGTGGAAATTACAAACTACAGAAGCCTTTTTTAAACCTCAAATACACTACACGTTTAAAATGTCCTGCATTGCAAGAAAGTTCTCCTGCAACAGTGTGATCAAATTAAGATCCTACATCTATAAATAAAGTGGATGGGATAAAGTAATGGACAGTTTAAATCATACATAATTGTAATGTAAATAGTTTCCGTGGCGGACACGCAGGCTTGATGCTGCTAAGCCATTCTGTCCGGCAGACTGATGATAAACGTCAACTAGATGGGAAATCAATCTTATTTCCTTTGATGATGAGTCTGAGATGCACAGTCAAAGTCAGACATGTCAATACTGATTACCAGTGGTGCAGAAAGCCTTCGCATTAGTACTTTGTTAAAGCTGCAATATGTAACTTTTTGGGAGACCTGACCAAATGCACGTAGAAAGCAAGTCTAAGAAGCAGTAGATCAGTTCTATGTGCATTATTTCTATGCTTTCCATTCTTAAGTTTCATTTTTGTGTCTTTTACTTTCGGTTTTGTACACCAGCTTCAAACAGCTGAAAATTCATTTTTTTGGTTATGGAAAATATATCTCTCAACGGTTTAGATGGTACAATGATTCTCTACACAATGACTGATTGTTTTGACAAATAAACTGAAATTATGCAAACTATTTCAGCAACCAGGAAATGGCTGAGCGATTTCTGCATCTTGCACCTTTAAAGTATGATTGATAACTGGAGGCTTTTCAAAGTAACTTGCAGTTATCATGTATCCTCTATGGACTGATGTGCTGATCCAAGCCAAATAGGGCTTCTTCTGTGTACCACCCATACCTTGTCACAACACAACTGATTGGCTCAAACGCATTAAGAAGGAAAGAAATTCCACAAATTAACTTCTAAGAAGACACACCTGTTAATTGAAATGCATTCCAGGTGACTACCTCATGAAGCTGGTTGAGAGAATGCCAAGAGTATGCAAAGCTGTAATCAAGGCAAAGGGTGGCTATTTGAAGAATCTCAAATATAAAATATATTTTGATTTGTTTAACACTTTTTTGGTTACTACATGATTCCATATGAGTTATTTCTTAGTTTCGATGTCTTCACTATTATTCTACAATGTAGAAAATAGTAATAATAAAGAAAACCCTTGAATGAGTAGGTGTGTCCTAACTTTTGACCGGTACTGTATATTTTCACTTCCTGTTCTTCTTCTACTTGCTTTCCTTTCTTTTTTTCATTATTTTCTTCCTTCTTCTTCCTTCATCTCCTAAAAGAAAAACCATTGAATGAGTAGGTGTTCTAAAACGTTTGACCTGTAGTGTATGTCAAAACATTTTTCTCCAAAGGGCCCTTCTATGGATTAAATGTTGTGAAAATCTAAAACCTTGTTTTGTGAGGAATCACACTCCCATGACAATGTAGCAAGCTGCTAAACAGCAGCATGAAATATTATGACGGTCAGGACATAATACACACACACAGACAGTCATGGAAAAACTATTTTGGAATGATACACAATAATAAACAAAGGCATTCAAAAAATGTATGTGTATGTGTGTATGTGTGTCTGTGTGCGCGTGTGTATGTGCGTGCGAGCAGTTATGGGGGAGTCCTGCACATTCTATTCCTTTCCGTCGATATCAGAGGGACAAAGAGAAAATGTCTCAGAGACAGAAACAGCTGCTTGCTCATTGAGCCACACTCCTACACACACACAGTGATGGAAACAGTGAGTGCACTACTACTGCCTTCTCCTCGCCATAACAACAGGGCCAACTGAGACCATGAGGCTTCTTCACGCGAAAAAAACACAGATCTGTTGATAATATTAGCAGCATGACAGCTGTGCTGCTGGCTGCGTGTTGGGCCTAACAAAACCCTAAAACTGTGACTATATTGAAAATATAGCACAGCCCCTTGTGTCATTTAGCTTAAATTAATATTTACGGTATGTTCCATACTATATCTGCTAATTTGCTGTCTACTATAGGTAACACTTAGCCTGGATAAACCAGACTGAATGCTGCACTCACTATTGTTTAATGTGGTTGAACAAGGCTAGGTAGCACTAATAGTACCAGCAGTGAAAGGTATTTCAGAGAGAGGAAGTGAATCATGAAGGTGACGATTGAGTAATCTGTACTTCCTCCCTCTTAAAGTGTCTTTGAAGTGTCTGTACAGCTGGGGTGAACTCCCCCAAACATCCTCCTCACATACCAGCATTGAGTCAACCTGGATCTCAATTCTCAATGATGCTCAATCAAAATAGCAAAATGTTAATGCATCAAGTAGTAGGTAATTGCAATTTTTGTTATTTCAAAGTAACTACCCAGTTAAAAAATAGGGTTCCTTGGAAGTTGGTTGTAGAAACGAAGCCATAAGTTTCCTGACCAGTTAAACTGAAGAAAAATATACTCTGGTTCCTTGAACGTTTTCCTGGGAGATTTTATTAATGGTTATTTGGAGGTTTTTGAATAACTTCCTTAAAACTTTCACTGAATGTTTCAATAAGACTTTTAATAACACTGCTAGCTTATTTTGGGTTAACTTTTTGGAACTTCAAGCACAGATAGGACACATGTAAATTAATTTCTGTAATCATACATTAATCATACAAAGACATTTATTTTTTATTGTGACATGGCATCACTGAGATTCAAACCTTTGATCTTCTGTTCTCTATTCATGGATTAATCCACTGTGCCACCATGATCTTTTTATGCATACAAAGCTGTTCATTTGTTTTATTCAAACTGACCCCATTTCAAAGGAAACAAGAACTCATTAGGATCAGCTGTGGCCAATTAGTGGGCGCGGCCAACACACCTGAACACACTTAACAAGATAGAGGATATAGAGAGTTTTGTTGATGCTGATAACGGAATGTATATGTTTTAAATAACATTCTTAGAACGTTCTCTGAATTTTACTAAAGTTTGCTTGTGGTTTATATGGAAAGTTTTCTTCATTTTCTGAGAACGTAATTTAGAGCTTATTGCTGTTAATGTGTAAAAAAATAAATAAAAAAATAAAATAAAATATCCCAGAATATTCCCAAGAACTGACATAAAAGAGAACCATTCATTATCTGAATGTTCTGAAAACATCTCTTAAGTCACACCATGTTTTTGAACTTTCCCAGAATGTAGCAAAAATATGACATTAAATAGAATCACATGCTAACTTGTGTGTAATGTTCTGTAGAAGTACTGAAATTCCTACAGAAGGAAGTTGTTTCTTAACATTCTTGGAACAATTTGAGAACATGATTTTAAATAGAACCATGAGAAAACCTGTAGAAAACATTATGCTGAAGTACTCAAATTCCCACAGAAGAACTATGTTTCTTAATGTTTTCGGAACAATTTGAGAACATTCCAAGTGTCAAACCAGTTGGAGAATGTTCCTAGAACATTACCAAAATTGCAATTAAATGTTACATGTTTGAACTTTTAGGAAAACGTTCTATTAAAGTAATGAAATTCCAAGAAAATAAAGTTTTTTTTGTCAAGTTCCGTAAATGTGCTGAGAATGTTCCAAAGCCAAGCTTCTATCCTGCACCATTCCCAGAACGTTGTGGGAAGGTTGTATGCAAAATGACCATAGGACAACCACTCGCTCACCAAGCTCCTAGAAACATATGGTTCTCAGAACGTTATGCGCTAGCTAGGTATCTGCTAAATAATAGGCTGTAAAATAAAGGGTTACAATAAAGGGTTAAAGGGTTATTCATATACAGCACCTGTGTTTACTGTATGCTTCTATACTGACTATCTGGAGCCAGAGCCAAAGCCAAAGCCAAAGCCTATCTGAGGCTGAGATACTATCAGTGTTCCATTCACTCTACTTCCATGCTCCAGAGCAGGCAAATGGAGTACTGAACATGGGAGAGCATGGAGCAAAGGAGAACGATGAATGGAACATAGCCATATTCTCAATCTGGAGCTCTGAGTGCAGGATGGGATGTGGTGACATCACAATCACACACTGACCCATTGCCCTAGCGCTGACCCTACATCCTAAACATGGAGCCTGTCAGAGAGTACTGCTAAGAAATGGCTGCATTTTCACAACACATAGCTCAGTCAAGGAGGATGGAAAAACAAGTAAATATCTGTCTCCTTGACTTATTACCTCCTGGAAACCAGTTTTGCTTGGCCTCCTCAACATTTGTCTACCAGCTCTAGGCTCATGGAGTTGAATGAGAGAAACAGAAGTTAGGTTTCGGACTTACTCTCGGTAAAGGTGCAATCTGCAATAATTATAGTTACCGCTGTTCAATGGTCAAATAAATGACAGATTTGGCTTTAAGTCCTTAGGAGAAAGGTTGAGCAGCAACACCTCTGACTTGGAAACACCTCAATCAGCTGTGTCCCTTACAGGCTGCCATGACAGAATGCTATAGTCTTGTTCTCACTGAAGAGAAGAAAAACTAGCTCTACAGCTAGCTAGCTGACGTCAGCCTGTTGGATGCTATTTTGTCAGTAGGCTATAGAAGCAACCGTAAGTTATAAATTATCCCCCTCCCCACTCTCACAAGAGCAAGGACGAGTCACTGGCAGTATTTCAAGAGGAATGACGTGTAATTTTAACCACCTGTTGATACATGAAACAAAAGTGCTTCGACACCATCACCTTTTCTTAATGTTTTTAAATTAATTATTTAGGCTTTATTGAGTGTGTTTGAGAAAGAGGGCAAACAGAATACTCAAGGCGTAATCGCCATAAATTAGGCTTAATTGCTTATGTATTGTAATTCTCCCCCATTGCTCATGCACACCTCTGCTCTGACTTGCGGGAAACACACTTTAAACTGTACGGGATCAGTGTCCCGTATACGGGACTGTTGAGCTAAAGTGCGCTAATGTGATTAGCATTTGTCATCCTAAGGGTCCCAGAGATAAAATATAGCATAGTTTTGTTTGATAAAATCCATTTTTATATTCAAATGTAGGAACTGGGTTCTACAGTTTGAACCCTGCTGTCACTGGCTCCACACCCACCCCGCCCGGCCATCTAGATGCATGAAAGTTAGTGTATAATTTAACGATCCATTATGTATGACGTTCCTAGGAGTGTGTAAACTTACATTTTGTATTACCATATCATTTTTGTATGTTCTCTATAGTTATGTACTTGAAAATGTATCAATTGACCAATTCGGCACATTTGGGCAGACTTCATACAAAATAGTCCAGTATATATATATATATATAGGTCAACTATAATATTGCAGATAGATTGTAACTTCCATCAATGTAATTGTCTGCATCACTTCCAATCCCCCATATGTTTTTTCTTTTTTTTTCTCGCATATATATATATATGCATATATACATACATACATACATACATACATATACACATACATATATATACACATACATAAATATATATATATATATATATATATACATACAGTGGGGAGAACAAGTATTTGATACACTGCCGATTTTGCAGGTTTTCCTACTTACAAAGCATGTAGAGGTCTGTAATTTTTATCATAGGTACACTTCAACTGTGAGAGACGGAATATAAAACAAAAATCCAGAAAATCACATTGTATGATTTTTAAGTAATTCATTTGCATTTTATTGCATGAAATAAGTATTTGATCACCTACCAACCAGTAAGAATTCCGGCTCTCACAGACCTGTTAGTTTTTCTTTAAGAAGCCCTCCTGTTCTCCACTCATTACCTGTATTAACTGCACCTGTTTGAACTCGTTACCTGTATAAAAGACACCTGTCCACACACTCAATCAAACAGACTCCAACCTCTCTACAATGGCCAAGACCAGAGAGCTGTGTAAGGACATCAGGGATAAAATTGTAGACCTGCACTAGGCTGGGATGGGCTACAGGACAATAGGCAAGCATTACTTGTACTGAAACTGTTCTCTTCTCTCTTTCAATGCAGCAAAGCGGTCAATGACTTTCTCATTGAAATCAGGCATGCTGAGGACTAGTTTACTAGTTACTTTTTAGCTTGCTGCATGATCAAATTCAGCTGATGCGCATAGCAATGCACGTAATGGCCTTTCTTGAAATGCTCACGCACCTTTTGCCTTCTCTCGCCTCATCACACTGGCTCCATCGTAAGCTTGCGCAATGAGTTTGACTTTCACGTCGTCGGCAAAAAGACCGTTCAGTCTCTCCAAAAGCACACTGGTGATTGAGACTGAGGTTGATTCCGAGATGGGAAGGAACTCAAAAAAGCGCTCCTGCACTTTGTGGTTGTCTCTTTGATGTGAACTTCTTTCAAAGAGACAATCGAGTTGCACTGAACGCTATAGCCATCTTGATAGTAGTACGTGAATTGATTGATGCTGCTACACGCTCTTTTCTTAGTTACGTTCATGGTTACGTTACGTATGACGAAAGCGCGTAAGTGCAAGCCCTCAGAAACCCATAGAGATTGTATTGAAAGCTCTGAAATTTGAAAAAAATAGATTTTACATGGGAGTCTATGACAGACTTCTGGGCGATTTTCAACCTGACTGAAATCGCCCCAAAAGGGGGGGGGGCCATTTGAAGCACGACTTTAGCCTGATTGGACATTTAGTGGCAGTGTGGCACTGTGGCAGATCAGACGTCTAGATTACAACACTGATAACTACTGTTGCCGTGATATAATTGATTAGAAAAAAAATCCCTTCCTTTTCCCGTTTGGCAGTGCGTCGCCCATATCGCCCTATTGAACACACCGCCCCTGGTTGTAAGCAACAGCAAACTTTCCAGGACATAGACATGTCTTATATGGGCAGAAAGCTTACATTCTTGTTAATCTAACTGCACTGTCCAATTAACAGTAGCTAACACAGTAAAAAAATACCATGCTATTGTTTGAGGAGAGTGCACAACAACAACAACAACAAAAATGATCACGCCAACTGGTTTGATACATTCACTCCTGAAGGTAAATAATGTATTTACATTCAGTAATCTGGCTCTGATTTGTCATCCTAAGGGTCCCAGAGATAAAATGTAGCAGAGTTTTGTTTGATAAAATCCATTTTTATATTCAAATGTAGGAACTGGGTTCTACAGTTTGAACCCCTGCTGTCACTGGCTCCACACCCACCCCGCCCGGCCACCTAGATGCATGAAAGTTAGTGTATAATTTAACGATCCATTATTTATGACGTTCCTGGGAGTGTGTAAACTTACATTTTGTATTACCATATCATTTTTGTATGTTCTCTATAGTTATGTACTTGAAAATGTATCAATTGACCAATTCGGCACATTTGGGCAGACTTCATACAAAATAGTCCAGTATATATATATATATATGTGTTTGGGATCATTGTCATGCTGAAAGACCCAGCCACATTTCATCTTCAATGCCCTTGCTGATGGAAGGAGGTTTTCACTCAAAATCTCACGATACATGGCCCCATTCATTCTTTCCTTTACACGGATCAGTCATCCTGGTCCCTTTGCAGAAAAACAGCCCCAAAGCATGATGTTTCCACCCCCATGCTTCACAGTAGGTATGGTGTTCTTTGGATGTAACTCAGCATTCTTTGTCTTTACCGAAAAGTTCTATTTTGGTTTCATCTGACCATATGACATTCTCCCAATCCTCTTCTGGATCATCCAAATGCACTCTAGCAAACTTCAGACGGGCCTGGACATGTACTGGCTTAAGTAGAGGGACACGTCTGCCACTGCAGGATTTGAGTCCCTGGCGGCGTAGTGTGTTACTGATGGTAGGCTTTGTTACTTTGGTCCCAGCTCTATGCAGGTCATTCACTAGGTCCCCCCGTGTGGTTCTGGGATTTTTGCTCACCGTTCTTGTGATCATTTTGACCCCACGGGGTGATATCTTGCGTGGAGCCCCAGATCGAGGGAGATTATCAGTGGTCTTGTATGTCTTCCATTTCCTAATAATTGCTCCCACAGTTGATTTCTTCAAACCAAGCTGCTTACCTATTGCAGATTCAGTCTTCCCAGCCTGGTGCAGGTCTACAATTTTGTTTCTGGTGTCCTTTGACAGCTCTTTGGTCTTGGCCATAGTGGAGTTTGGAGTGTGACTGTTTGAGGTTGTGGACAGGTGTCTTTTATACTGATAACAAGTTCAAACAGGTGCCATTAATACAGGTAACGAGTGGAGGACAGAGGAGCCTCTTAAAGAAGAAGTTACAGGTCTGTGAGAGCCAGAAATCTTGCTTGTTTGTAGGTGACCAAATACTTATTTTCCACCATAATTTGCAAATAAATTCATTAAAAATCCTACAATGTGATTTTCTGGATTTTCTTTTCTCAATTTGTCTGTCATAGTTGACGTGTATCTATGATGAAAATTACAGGCCTCTCTCATCTTTTTAGCACAGTTGGTGGCTGACTAAATACTTTTTTTCCCCACTTCATTTCCCTTTATTACTTTCCAACCCCACCATCCCCTCCTTAATTGGAGTAAACTAGTGAACAACAATGCTTAGGCCTCTACTTCATGCTTATACATAATATATACATTTTATAGACACAGTCACTAATTATATTTTGTTTGTTTTTACTCCTGAACTTCCTCCGATCATTTTCATGATGTCCTTCTGGTATGCTTCTATATGCCATATCTTTCTAACTGTGCTCTTTCACAAAAGCTCACAATATATAACCTATATACTTATTATGGACACAGCATGACTTACACTAGTTATCTTGTTGTTATTAGTTGTTGTTATTAGTCCCATCCTTCAGCTCCATTCAACTCCTCCCATCTATCTCTTAACACCATTGTCACACCCTGACTCAAGGGACTTGTATTTGTTGAGTCAGGGTGTGTATTTTCTGTGTTGGGTTTGTTCTATGTTAGATTCTAGTATTCTAGATCTATGTTGGCCTGTGTGGTTCACAATCAGAGGCAGCTGTCACTCGTTGTCTCTGATTGGGGACAATACTTAGGCAGCCTTTTGGCACATGTTAGTTGTGGGATCTTGTTCCGTGTGAGGTATGTTTTTTTGTCTACCTTGGACTTCACGTTTCGTTTGTTGTTTTGTCGTGTGTTCAGTACGTAAATAAATATGAATGCATATCACGCTGCGCCTTGGTCCGTCTCGTCCGTAAACGATCGTGACAACCATCCATATTGGATTTCTATTTGCCATATATTTTTCAACTGTACTGTGATGTTTTACAAAAGTTCTGAATATTTCTATTCTCATTGTTTCTACAGTTTGTGAATTGAAAATAAAAATCTTTGCTAAAAGTATTATTATATTATTGATCGATTGACTATGACTTTTCAGATCACCCATAGTGCTATCTGCAGGGTCAACTCCATGCAAATATTGCAATCCTTCAGCCATTCCTGAACCTGTGTCAGAAACAAGCTACAAATAGACAGTACCAAAACAAATTATCTAATGATTCTGTCTCTTCACAGCCAAATCTGCAGAGCTGGGAAGATTGTATCCCCCATACAAATAACATTCTATTCGTAACAAGAATTCTATATAATAATTTCAATTGAAAAATTATAAGTTTTTAATCCGGCGTCGTTTTGCGTATCAGTTCATAAACACTATGCCATGGAATCGGTATGTCAAAAATCTCTTCTCAACTATTTTGCAGTCTATATGGGATGGCTGTCAATCTTTTGGTCCTTAAATGAAACTGGTAAACCTTTTTATTTATCACAATTTTCTTTAACCAATTATGTTCTTTGATGCAAGGCCGACAGACAAGTTCATTACTTTTTCCTCCTTCCACTTTCCTCTTCCATTTTTGCAGTAATGCTGCAATTATTTGGTTGTAATTTTGGGTAGAGCAGACATTTCCATATGTTTTTGTTAGCTGCATGTGCGACATAACTCCACCATTCCTACCGATAATATAATTTACGAAGATTTACGAAGATTATATTTTTTAAATCAATTAGTATATTTGAGTTTAACCACAATATTTGTTGCAATATTTGTTCTGTCATTTCTGGAGGATTAAATTGAAATTGCAACCAACTTTCTATGGCTTGTTTTAGAAATAGTGATATTTGGGAGATTATTTCCTTTTCAAATACCTGAAATTGAGGGGTTGTAATCTGAATAAAGGGGTTGTAATCTATCCCTTCTTGAACATTGGGTGAGACAATCTTACTAGTTTGCTAGAGAACCAGTTTGGATTTAAGTATAATTTTTGTATGACTGAAGCTTTTAGTGATAGGTCTAATTTTTAATATTTAATCATTTCTGTCCTCCTAATTCATATTCATTATATAAATAGGCCCGTTTAATTTTGTCTGGCTTGCCGTTCCAAATAAAATGGAATTATTTTGTCTCATATAATTTAAAAAACTGTTCGCTAGGCGTAGGCAAGACCATAAGCAAATCGATGAACTGGGATAATACTAAATAGTTAATCAGGGTGATTTTTTCACAAATTGACAGGTATTTACCTTTCCGTGGTAGCAAGATCTTATCTATTTTTGCTAACTTTCTATTAAAATGTATTGGAGTGAGATCATTTATTTCATTTGGGATATGTATTCCAAGTATATCCACATCACCATCAGACCATTTTATTGGTAAACTACATGGTAATGTAAAAATTGTATTTTTTTGTGATCCAATACGTAATATAGTACATTTATCCTAATTTGGTTGTAATCCAGAGAGGTTAGAAAATGTATCTAGATCCTCTATGGGGCTGTGGAGGGATTCAAGTTGTGGATTTAAAAGAAAACATGAATCATCAGCGTACAATGACACCTTTGTTTTTAAGGCCTGGATTTCTAATCCCTTGATATTATTGTTGGATCTGATTTTAATAGCTTACATCTCGATGGCAATAATAAATAGATATGCCGATAGTGGACAACCTTGTTTCACTCCTCTTGACAGTTTAAAACTTTCTGAGAAATCACCATTATTTACTATTTTACACCTAGGGTTACTATACATAATATGCCATTTAGCAGACGCTTTTATCCAAAGCGACTTACAGTCATGTGTGCATACATTTTTACGTATGGGTGGTCCCGGGGATCGAACCCACTACCCTGGCATTAAAAGCGCCATTCTCTACCAATTGAGCTACAGAGGACCATGATTTTAACCCAATTTATAAGAGATTGTCCAAAATTGAAATGCTCCAGGCATTTATATATAAACCACAGTCGTACTTTATCAAATGCCTTTTCGAAGTCTGCTATGAATAGTAGGCCTGGCTTCCCAGATTTTTCATAGTGTTCTATTGTTTCCAGTACTTGCCTTATATTATCTCCAACGTATCGCCCATGTAAAAAACCTGTCTGATTAGAATTAATAATGTCTGACAATACCTTTTTAATTCTATGCGCTATTCATTTTTGCATCACAACACTGAAGTGTAAGGGGCCGCCAATTTTTTTAATGGACTGGATCTTTATATTTTCCACTTGTATCCTGTTTCAGTAATAATGAAATTAGGCCTTCTTCTTGAGTGTCTGATAATCTATCATTTACATAAGAGTGGTTAAAACATGCTAATAACGGTCCTCTGAGTATATCAAAAAAGGTTTGGTATACCTTGACTGGTATGCCATCCAACCCTGGAGTTTTCCCAGACTTAAAGTCTTTAATTGCATCCAGAAGTTCCTCCTCTGTAATTTCACATTCACATGAGTCTTTCTGTATGGCTGTTAATTTTATATTATCAATAGAAAAAAATCTCTACAATTTGCTTCAGTTAGAGGAGATGGAGGCGACTGAAATGAAAACATGTGCTTAAAGTACTTTGTTTCCTCCTTCAAAATATAATTTGGTGAATAATGGGTGACTCCGTCATTTGTAACCAGTTTCAATAAATTATTTTTGGTAGCATTCCTATGTTGAAGATTAAAAAAGAATTTGGTGCATTTTCCCCCATATTCCATCCAGTTAGCTTTATTTTTATAATATATTACACTTGATCTTTCTTGAATAAGTTTCTCCATTTATTTTTGTTTTTCCTCTAATTTATTCTGAGCCTCTATGTTACAGTTTTTATTGCTATCTATCTGCTCTGTTAGACCTTCTATTTCCTTTGTTAGTATGGACTCTTTTGACCTAAATTGCTTTTGTTTTCGAGATGAGTACTGAATTGCATTGCCTCTAAAGGCACATTTAAAGGTGTCCCATACAATAAGGGGATTTTCTGTACCTATGTTATGTTGGAAAAAATCAGTTATAAATTTCTCGGTCCTAGTTAAAAACAAGTTATCATCCAATAGGCTTTGATTACATTTCCAATATCCTCGCCCACGTGGAAATTCAGTAAGAGTAATGTATATGCCAATTATATGATGGTCTGACCGTATTCTGTCCCCTATCAACACTTTTTAAACTTTTGGTGCCAACGAGAATGACATAAGAGAGAAGTCAAGACGACTAGCTTGATTGAGTCTCCGCCATGTATATCTCACTAGATCAGGATATTTAAGCCTCCATATATCTACTAGTTCTAATGTATCCATGACATTCATGATTTCCTTAAGAGCATGAGGGTGATAGTTTGTAGTGTGATTTCCTTTACGGTCCACTGAGCTATTTAAAACGGTATTATAATCTCCCACCATAATAATATAGTCTTGTATTGCTTGCAGGGTTGATAGTTTACTATATATATTGTCAAAGAAGAGTGGCTCATCATTATTTGGTCCATAAAGGTTAATATCTGTTCATGGTCCAATAACATATTTAAAGTCATCCATCTACCTTGCGGATCTGATTGGAAAATTTGCATATACGGATCGAAATTACTGTTAATTAATATCATAACCCCCTTTGAGTTTATTTGCCCATGGGAGAAGTATATTTGCCCCCCCCCCAGTTCTTATTCCACACAACTTCATCTTGAATTGTTGAATGAGTTTCCTGTAAACAATATATATATATTATATTCCTTCTCTTTGAGCCATGTAAATATTGTACTTCTTTTGTTATTATCTGCTAAGCCATTACAATTATAACTGGCTATACTTATTTCACCACTTACCATAATGAGATACAAGTTTCAAATCTATTTATCATAATATATGATTGTAAATGTACCAATAAAAAATACCATAGCGATTGAGTATCCATATAGCTGTCCCATGATATTTGCATTGCGACTAAGTAACTCTCCAATTGTTCTCCACTATTCCCCCCACTAAAGCCCCTCCCCATCCCAAGTTTGGTTGTCATCCCAGTTATCGGTATACCACCCCCGTCCTCCCGGATCCATCCTTCGAAAACAGCACAGTGCCACCCACAAAACAGAAGCAGGTCAACCGCCAAAAGCATTTCCAATGCTCTCACCTCCATATATATATATATATATATATATATATATATATATATATATATATATATATATATATATAGCTATTTAAAATATATATCTATTCAAATATCTTGCATATCTTAATTTCCATAATTATCAATTAATATGCGTAATAATGTCGGCAGTTCATGCGAAGGATTGTTACCTATAACCCGGATTGCAATTGTATTACATTACATTTTTGTCAAGCAATTATTATTTTAGCAAACAATTATTGTGGTTCATCCTATATTCTCCCTAACATCCTTACCCCCTTGCAACAGATGTGGGATACACACACACACACACACACACACATGCACATACTCTTACACACTCAACCCCTTTCCTCCACAATCAACCATAAGCTCAGATGCTCAACGGTTGTTACATCCCAGAGCCCAACTCAAGAAAGGACCTGATTTACGAATGCATATACAGTTACAGCAGTTTGAGAAAGCATGCAAGATTGAGAAAAAATTGACAAAAAATTGAGATTTGATTAACCTATGTCAAGTCCTAGGTGATGGAGATCAGATCCACCCTCTTCCCCTGAAACACTAACACTCTAGTCCCCCATTGTAACCATTTTTCCCAAGCATCTCCGTGCAGTCAGACCTTTGATTATTTTGTGCGACCAGGGCCACAATAATATAGTCCAGTATTGCAATGCTTCACTGGATCAATCTGAAACTTTGCACACACACTGCAAAATTGCGCCTAAATTGCAATATTATATTCTGGCCTTTCTCTTGCATTTCAAAGATGATGGAACAATATTGTATAATGTTTTTTGTTCGTATAATCTTTTACCAGATCTAATGTGTTATATTCTCCTACATTAATTTCACATTTCCACAAACTTCAAAGTGTTTCCTTTCAAAAGGTATCAAGAATATGCATATCCTTGCTTCAGGTCCTGAGCTACAGGCAGTTAGATTTGGGTATGTCATTTTAGACGATAATTGAAAATAAGGGACCGATCCTTAAGAGGTTAAAGACCTGTTTCTAACATTCTCTCAATCTATTATCATAATTACCGGAGGACCTGGGTCTCCTTTGGGTCCTGGGAAAGCTCCGTCATAGTCTCCGTAGAAGTAGTCTGGATCCTCATATCCATAGTCGTAGCCTCCCATTTCCACATCGTAGGCCCCTTCCTGGCCATGCTCTTCTGAGGTCTCCACCTGATTCTCCCGGTACAGGCTGGTGCCGTTGGTTCTGAACTGGGTGTCCAGGAGGTGGTCAGCGAGCTGGAGCTGGGGGTTAGAGTCCCTAGGCCGGGAGCTGGAGCTGTTCCTCAGGCCATCATTCAAGCGGCTCTGCCCAACAGGGGAGTTTAGGCCTGGGGTGTCGGTGGTGACCCATTGGGGCCTCCTGGGGCTCCTCTCCTCCATGTCATTGTCAGACTGGGGAGACTTCCTGGTTGAGCCCCTTGATGGGCTGGATCTGGAGCTGGGGGTGGTACTTCTACGGGTGATGCCCAGGGCCTCCAGCCCACTGAGGGTGCCTGAGGACAGGCTGTTGTGGCCAGCAGTGACGGGGGTATGGATGGAGTTGAGGTGCTCTAGCAGGGAGCTCTGGGTCTGGATCCTGACCCCCAGGTGAGGCTGCTCTGAGGGGCTTAAATACGGTGTTCCGGACCCCTCCAAAGAGGGAATGGGGGCTGATCCGGCTGGGGTGGAGGTCTGCTGGGTGTGGGAGTCTACAGCCAGGAAGGGGGGCACCACCATCTGGGACTCTAGAGAAAGAGGAATAGGAGAGAAAGCCAGGTAGCTGGAAACCTCCATATCCGAGCCGGGGGGCGATCTGTATGTCTCGGCCAGCCGGCATTGTTTTTTAAGGTAGTCGCAGTAGCGCGCAGCAGCCTGGGCCAAGGGGTAGATGTCCAGCTGGCATATGAGGCCCTGGAACTGAGCTGCTTTAGAGTTCATCCTTCCTAAGGTGAGTAGGCCTCCGGATCCTGACCCCAGCGTCTGCGACCGGGTCAGAGTCTGCTCTCTCTGCTGCACCGCTCCGCAGTCCGCATGGAACGACACCGAGCGTGGACGCACGCCCACAGCGAACGAGTTCTGACGCCCATTGTGCACGTCATAGGTGAAGTAGACGGAGGTCTTCTCGGCAGTGTACACGACCACCTTCCTGGGCAGCAGCTGGATGCCAAACTGCAGCTTGTTCCTGCCATCACGCACACTGAAAAGGAAAGCATTGTTCACTCGCCAGGAGCTTAGGCTCACCACAACAGAAAACTCCTCACCGAGCTCCGGCGGGAACAGGCCCCCCGTGGGGGCTTCAATGTGGGCATCCAGGCTGAGTAGGATCCCGGCTCCTGGGGGTGAGGATGGAGGAGAGGGGGAGGAGGGGGGAGAGGAGCTGTTCCCAGAGGAGAGAGTCTCTCTGCTGCCGGTGAGGCCCAGCTGATGGAGGATATCGACACCTGTGGAGGAGAGAGGGGAGAGCGGTCAGTTAGACAATCAGACCCTTGCAACATCTTAAAATCTTACAAAACAGTGATAGGAAGAGGACATCAGCATCATCACTACCTCCAGTGAAACATGGTGGTAGTAGGGGATTACTCTATGTACTGTACATACAAATGCTAGGGGAAAAAGAGGTAGGAAAGGAGATGAAGGAAGAAGAAAGAAAATAATGAAAAAAAGAAAGGAAAACAAGTAGAAGAAGAACAGGAAGTGAAAATATACACTACCAGTCAAAAGTTAGGAAACACCTACTCATTCAAGGGTTTTACATTTACATTTTAGTCATTTAGCAGATGCTCTTATCCAGAGCGACTTACAGTTAGTGAGTGCATACATTATTTATTTTTCATACTGTCCCCCGTGGGAATCGAACCCACAACCCTGGCGTTGCAAACGCCATGCTCTATCAACTGAGCTACATCCCTGCCGGCCATTCCCTCCCCTACCCTGGACGACGCTGGGCCAATTGTGCGCCGCCCATGAGTCTCCCGGTCGCGGCCAGCTGCGACAGAGCCTGGATTCGAAACAGGATCTCTAGTGGCACAGTTAGCACTGCGATGCAGTGCCTTAGACCACTGCGCCACTCAGTTTTCTTTATTATTACTATTTTCTACATTGTAGAATAATAGTGAAGACATCAAAACTATGAAATAACACATATGGAATCATGTAGTAACCAAAAAAGCGTAAAAAAAATCAAAATATACTTTATATTTGATATTCTTCAAAGTAGCCACCATTTGCCTTGATGACAGCTTTGCACACTCTTGGCATTCTCTCAACCAGCTTCAACTGGAATGCTTTTCAAACAGTCTTGAAGGAGTTCCCACACTTGTTGGCTGCTTTTCCTTCACTCTGCGGTCCAACTCATCCCAAACCATCTCATTTGGGTTGAGGTCGGGTGATTGTGGAGGTCAGGTCATCTGATACAGCACTCCATCACTCTCCTTCTTGGTCAAATAGCCCTTACACAGCCTGGAGGTGTGTTGGGTCATTGTCCGGTTGAAAAACAAATTATAATTCCACTAAGCGCAAACCAGATGGGATGTCGTATCTCTGCAGAATGCTGTGGTAGCCATGCTGGTTAAGTGTGCCTTGAATTCTAAATAAATCACTGACAGTGTCACCAGCAAAGCACCCCCACACCATCACACCTCCTCCTTCATGCTTCACGGTGGGAACTACAAATGCAGAGATCATCCGTTCACCTACTCTGCGTCTCAGAAAGACACGGCGGTTGGAAACAAATATCTAACATTTGGACTCATCAGACCAATGTACAGATTTCCACCGATCTAATGTCCATTGCTCATGTTTTTTGGTCCAAGCAAGTCTCTTCTTCTCATTGGTTTCTTTGCAGCAATTCGACCATGAAGGCCTGATTCACGCAGTCTCCTCTGAACAGTTGATGTTGATATGTGTCTGTTACTTGAACTCTGTGAAGCATTTATTTGGGCTGCAATTTCTGAGGCTGGTAACTCTAATGAACTTATCCTCTGCAGCAGAGGTAACTCTGGGTCTTCCTTTCCTGTGGCGGTCCTCATGAGAGCCAGTTTCATCATAGCGCTTGATGGTTTTTGCGACTGCACTTGAAGAAACTTTAAAAGTTCTTGAAATGTTCCGTATTGACTGACCTTCATATTTTAAAGTAATGATGGACTGTCGTTTCTCTTTGCTTATTTGAGCTGTTCTTGCCATAATATGGACTTGGTATTTGACCAAATAGGGCTATCTTCTGTATACCACCCCTATCTTGTCACAACACAACTGATTGGCTCAAACATATTAAGAAGGAAAGAAATGTTTCGTATTGACTGACCTTCATATTTTAAAGTAATGATGGACTGTCGTTTCTCTTTGCTTATTTGAGCTGTTCTTGCCATAATATGGACTTGGTATTTGACCAAATAGGGCTATCTTCTGTATACCACCCCTATCTTGTCACAACACAACTGATTGCCTCAAACATATTAAGAAGGAAAGAAATTCCACAAATTAACTTTTAACAAGGCACACCTGTTAATTGAAATGCATTCCAGGTGACTACCTCATGAAGCTGGTTGAGAGAATGCCAAGAGTGTGCAAAGCTGTCATCAAAGCAAAGGGTGGCTACTTTGAAGAATCTCAAATATAAAATACATTTTGATTTGTTTAAGACTTTTTTGGTTAGTACATGATTCCATATGTGTTATTTCATAGTTTTGATGTCTTCACTATTATTCTACAATGTAGAAAATAGTACAAATAAAGATAAACCCTTGAATGAGTAGGTGTGTCCACACGTTTGACAGGTACTGTAGGTGGAAGGTCTGATCAAGGCTGACATCACAGGTTACCCATAATCCTCCTCAGACAGCCAGGCAAGTAAACCAGGCAGCTGGGGTCCAGATGAGTCCAGAAAGGAGACTACAGAGGGATAGATGGTACAGTACAGTACTACCACACAACAATTGTGTGTGTGTTTATGTCTGTGTGTGTCACGATCGTCTTGGAAAGGAGTAGACCAAAGCGCAGCGTGTTGCACGAACATGATGCTTTATTTAATTAAAGCGAACCACGAAACAACAAAACAAATAACGATTTGTGAAGTCCAACAGTGACAATGACTGACTAGGAACAAAAACCCACAACACAAGTGAAAACATACAGTTTTAAATATGGCTCCAATCAGAGACAACGGCCAACAGCTGACACTCGTTACCGTCTGTTGGGAGTCCCTCAAACCAAGAAATACAAACAACCTAGAACAACCCAACCACGAAACAAACCCAAAAAACGAACACACCCTGGCTCAACATACAGAGTCCCGGAGCCAGAGCGTGACAGTACCCCCCCCTAAAGGCGCGGACTGCGACCGCGCCTCAATAAGGGCTAAACAAGGGAGGGCTGGGCGGGCATACCTCCTCGGCGGCGGTTCTGGCCCCGGCCTTGCCCACCACCCTCCAAACAACCCCCCATAGCGCCCCTGGTCCGGTCTGACCCCGCTGGCTGGATCTGGACTGGACAATGACGGAGCGGATTGCTTACGCTCCGTTGTGGAGCAGCTGACCGGTCTTACCAGGCTGACGACTCGCACCCCGGGCTTGGTGCGAGTAGCAGGAACGGGCTGAACCAGGCTGACGACTCGCACCCCTGGCTTGGTGCGAGTGGCAGGAACGGGCTGGACCAGGCTGACGACTCGCACCCCTTGCTTGGTGCGAGTGGCAGGAACGGGCTGGACCAGGCTGACGACGCACACCGTAGGCTTGGTGCGTGGAGCAGGGACAGGCCGGGCTGGGCTGACGACGCACACCGTAGGCCTGGTGCGTGGAGCAGGGACAGGCCGGACAGGGCTGGCGACGCACACCGTAGGTTTGGCGCGTGGAGCAGGAACAGGCCGGGCAGGCGACGCACACCATATTCTTGGTGCGTGGAGCAGGAACAGGCCGGGCAGGGCTGTCGACGCACACCGTAGGTTTGGTGCGTGGAGCAGGAACAGGCCGGGCAGGGCTGTCGACGCACACCGTAGACTTGGTGCGTGGAGCAGGTACAGGCCGGGCAGGGCTGTCGACGCACACCGTAGACTTGGTGCGTGGAGCAGGAACAGGCCGGGCAGGGCTGTCGACGCACACCGTAGGTTTGGTGCGTGGAGCAGGAACAGGCCGGGCAGGGCTGTCGACGCACACCGTAGACTTGGTGCGTGGAGCAGGAACAGGCCGGGCAGGGCTGTCGACGCACACCGTAGGTTTGGTGCGTGGAGCAGGAACAGGGCGGGCAGGGCTGTCGACGCACACCGTAGACTTGGTGCGTGGAGCAGGAACAGGCCGGGCAGGGCTGTCGACGCACACCGTAGGTTTGGTGCGTGGAGCAGGAACAGGCCGGGCTGGACTGGCGACGCACACCGTAGGCTTGGTGCGAGAGGTAGGAACAGGCCGGACCGGGCTGGAGACGCGCACCGTCCATTTGGTGCGAGGGGCCGTAACAGGCCGGACCGTACTGGGGACACACACCACTGGCTCTACTCCGGGAACTGGAACGGGCCGGACCGGACTGGTAACACACCCCAGTACCTCTCGCCGTGCCTCTAAACCTCCTTTCCCTACTTTGACCAGTGGCCCCCGTAACCTGGTGGCCTTTTGAATACGCCCCTTCTCTGCCTCCGTCAGCCCCGTCGTCCATGCCCTGTGCCCCCCCCTAAAAAATTATTGGGGGTGCCTCTCGTCCGTCCGACGATGGCACTGCTGACGCCGCTGCTCCTCTCCTGCCTGGGTCTCCCCCTTCATAGCCCTCCGGTACCGGACGGCCTCCTCCTCGGTAATCTGCCCCCAACCGAGGAGGACATCTACCAGAGTCACCTCCTGCGTGTGTTCCTGGACACGCTGCTTGGTCGTTGTATGGTGGGTTTTTCTGTCACGATCGTCTTGGAAAGGAGTAGACCAAAGCGCAGCGTGTTGCACGAACATGATGCTTTATTTAATTAAAGCGAACCACGAAACAACAAAAACAAATAACGATTCGTGAAGTCCACAGTGACAATGACTGACTAGGAACAAAAACCCACAAACACAAGGTGAAAACAGACAGTTTAAATATGGCTCCCAATCAGAGACAACGAGCCAACAGCTGACACTCGTTACCTCTGATTGGGAGTCACTCAAACAAAGAAATACAACAACCTAGAACAACCCAACCAAGAAACAGAACACAAAGAAACGAACACACCCTGGCTCAACATACAGAGTCCCGGAGCCAGAGCGTGACAGTGTGTCTGTGTGTGTATGTTTCAAACAGCCTGTTTGAATCAATCTGCCACCACATATTCATGATCTTCTCTCCTGCTGAGTCATGAATTTCCCTCTCTCCCAGGTGATTCCTCAAACTACATGTCAGACCTGCTAATATTGAAGTTCAGCAGGAGAACAGCATTTAAAAAGTAGTGAAGAGTTTTCTCAGCACGGTAGCTAGCAAAGCTTTGA